TTGAGCTGAGGATGCGGGGTCACAGGGAATGGGGAGATGGCTACTAGAGAACCAAGGGCCTCACACGCACCAGGCAAGTGCTCTACCACTGACCTGCACTGCCAGCCCACAAACAGTACACATTCCACTCAGAGTTCTAAGGTCCAGGAAGACCAAGGTCAAGGTGAGGGCCGCCTGCTGCTCCTGAGAGGCCTCATTGTTACGCCCTCCCTCCTGAAGGCAGAAGGAGTGAGGCTTCTCCCTGGGCCTTTCAGGTCTCGATTCTTGCCCCTGATGATCCCGCCTCTTAATTCTCTCCCCTTCCTGATTTAGAGTTCTGCATCTGGAAGGATCCCAGAGCCTCTGGCACCTGTCTTGGACACCTCTAGTCCTTGGAGTGTCCTGGTGGGCTGAGGCTCCCTGCTATCCTGTGCCCTCCCTGTAATCCTATGGTGAGGCTTACATGGAAGGTTTCTGCATTTGAAACTTTGGTATCAATAGGATCTTGGCCTCCGTGTCCTCAGAGTTCCCGTCGGAGTGAGCTCTCCACCCAGCCAGTGTCAATCACCCCCAGAGGAACGGGGACCATGGGTGCAGAGGGTCACCATCTCATCATCTCGGTTGTTTTCCTGAGCTGTGCCCATCACGAAGTGGTACCCCATGTCTCTTTAATACCGATCGTTAGTGGTCTTTGACGCAGTTGCGGCCTGGTGACGCTCTTCAGATGCTCGTTGGTGCTCAGAAACCAGCGAGCAGTGGCGTTCCCTGGCCTTGGTGCTCTGTGTCCAGCTCACAAACTGATAAAAATAGTTGGTGGATAAGAACTCCGAGTGGGCTGTGAGCCAGCAGCCAGAGACTGGCACAGGGTCAGGAGAGCCTGCGTCTTCTCAAACATCATTGGACCACTGGTCACCCTCATCTCGCAGTCTGGTGTGGCCCCTCATCATTCCACTTGGTCTCTGGGGCTCAGGGTGGCCCGGCACGCCCCTTTAGGCATGAGCAGATCATTCCAGATCCAACTTCCCCAAGCCTGGAAGGGTTTTCCCGTTTGTCTCAACTTCCCCAGAACCCAACCGTCTCCCAGGTCACAAGGGCACTCCTGCTAGGGTTTCCCAGGATGTCTGCGGCCAGTCCCCCCCCCCCCCCAGGCACAACTACATGCAGCATCTTGGCTCGTTCTCTTCCGGAACCTCCCGGGCATCCACAACGCCTACGTTACCATTATTCAAATACAAAGGCTGTAAGTTTTCTCTTTTCCTTTTTAAAGAAATTACATCCTGAGATTGCAAAACGCGGGGAAAAGTTTGATCAGAACTGAACTCCTCGTGGCCTTGGCAATGCCTCTGCTAGTCCTCAATGTGTCATTCCGCTCCAGTGATTTCACATTAACCCTTGAATAATTTAAGAAAGGGGGTGGGGTGGCTGTGATGGTCGCCATGGGATGGATGGGACCTTGAACACAGAAGTTTGTAACGTTCTCAAGGAAACAGATGGGAGCTGCTGGGCTTTGAAATTCCCTGGCTCAGGATGACGCTAACCAGCAAGCTAAAGACACCATTTGCCCCATGGGTGTTCCTGTCTGGGAACAGCTGTGGCTCAGAGAGGTCAGGTGACTTGAGCAAAGACACACAGTTGGGGCATGGGATGAAGACTAAAGCTTAAGTCTGTCATGATTTAAGAGGTGCCCAGACCCTAGGAATGGCAGCTTATTTTAATTGTGTGGCTGTGTAGGTTATCTGGTCATCTGTGGAGTTTTCCCTAGGAGCTCTTCAAATTCTTTCATTTCCACTTGTGTAGGGCTGTGGTCTGTGTCCCTCTCCTTAAAGCTGATTAGACTCTGTGGTTTCAGCAACGGAGAGAGGCATACCGCCAACCCCAGGTCCTCAAAGGCCTCCCAAGCCACCTGGCACCGTGGGAAAAGTGTGATCATCTGGCACTGTCCACTGGAAAGGCTGGATGGAGCCACTATAGCCAGCAGCCCAGCTGGGTTCCTCCCACCCTCCAGCCAGTTTTGAATGCCATTGTCAGTGTCTAGCCCCAGCCAAACAGCTGACTGCAGCTAAGGAGGGGCCCTAAGGACAGACCCAACTGCACCTTCCCAGGTTCCCCCACCTAATACAGAATAGGCCAAAAAAAATAATGGGGTTGTTAAAGATGTCGTGTGTGTGTGTGTGTGTGTGTGTGTGTGTGTGTGTGTACCATAATGCTGGGTATCAAAACATGTATGTATGAATACAATTACACATCCTTAACAACAAATAACCACTATATAACTGGAGCACTCTGAGCCAAGTCACTATAATATAGGACAATTTGTTACACAGCAGAAGTAACTGTGACATTCCATTTGAGAAATTTGTTTAGTTTCCCTGATGCAATAACAAGAAATGAAATAGTTCTGAAGTACCCAGTGTGCTCATCTTGTATAAATACAGGCTCTCTAAATCTGCTCCAGCCACTTAGAGGCCCAAGTCAAGGACTCTCCTTGTCCATTTGGGCTTCTAGGATAAGACACTGTCGGCTGAAGGAGTTGTACACAGTGGAGCTTGGGAAGTGAGGCTACCAAAGGCTGTTTCTTTGTTCATAGATGGTCTTTCCCTGTGCTTCCACAAGGTGGGGGAAGGAAAGGAATTCTCTGGTCCTCTTTATAAGTCTTTGGGGATCTCACCACATCCCAGCTCTGTCCCCATATCTTCCCTGGTAATTATTTCTTGAGAAAAAACACTAAGACATAGTAGGGGCTCCGGCACAGGGTACCTGGATTGGGTGCCAGCCTCACAGATGGACAACCAAGTGTGCTATGGAAAAACCTTTGTATACTGTAAATATGTATTGCTCTCGTTGGTAATAAAGAGCTGATTGGCAGATAGCTAGGACTTATGGGGCAGAGAGAATGCTGGGATGTAGAAGGGCAGAGTCTCAGGAGATGCCAACCATGCTCCGAGGAATCAGGACTTGTAGAAAATGAGGTGTCAAGTCACATGGCAAAGCATAGATAAGAAATATGGGTTAATTTAAGTTGTAAGAGCTAGTTAGTAATAAGCCTGATCTATCAGGTGAGCATTTGTAATTAATATAAGCCTCAGAGTGGTTATTTGGAAGCAGCTTGTGAGACAGAAACTTCCGCCTATACTTGACCTTCTACCTTCACCGCCATGTCCCCCAGTGTCCCTATCTGTAAGCAGAGTCCCACTTTCTATTGGGCTGTGAGAAGTTGACCAGAAGCTGCCCTTGAAGTTCCCGTGCACAGCTCCTGACACACAGAAATGATTTTGGGTGAAGGAAGGAGAAGAAAGGGGGCAGGTTAGGAGAGACGGCCAGAGGGAAGGGAAAAGGGAAACCGAGGGAGAACAGGAGGGAGAACTGAAGGTTCTGGAGCTGGTGCAGGGATAGGCATGCAGAGGAAGACTTGGCGTGGCTATTTGACCTGAAGATGACAGGCTTGTAGAATTCTTGGGTGGGGAGGGGTGTCCCAAGAGCCATCCTATGCCATCAAGGAACCTCACAAAGTTGCCATGAAAAACACCAGTAGGGACGTGGGGTGGGGCCACTAGAGCCTGGGACTTCTAATTGTTAACAAGCCCCTCCCACCCAAATGTTGAGCCTCCAGGGCAACCCTGTCCTTCATTACTTCCGGTTCCTGGGTGGGTATGGATCTAGGACCCAGTTTATCCTGTTCCCCTGCACCCAGGCTTAATGGTCACAGGCAATGGTGACACAGTGGGCATGAGCGTGGAGGCCTGTGACTCAGGAATGTGCCCCGGGATCTCTGTGCTGGTCAGCCCCTTCATTCGGGAAAATGGGGATGTGGGCAGCAGCACCAATGTCTGAGGGTGGTCAGGCTCGGGTCCTCAGCACTCGACTCCTCGGCAGCACTGGCTCCTCTGGTACTTGGAAGAGAGCCCAGCGCGTACCAGCAGGTGTGTACCTGCTTACTGGGTGTGTGAGTGTGGCTCAGACCATGATGCTCCCAAAACTGACAGCAGAAAGGAAGGAAATTAAAAAGAAAAATAAAAAAGGTGCCGGGTGGTGGCACATGCCTTTAATCCCAGCACTTGGGAGGCAGAGGCGGCAGATTTCTGTGAATTCAAGGCCAACCTGGTCTGTAGAGTTCCAGGACAACCAGGGGTACACAGAGAAACCAGGGGTACACTCGAAAAACAAAACAACATGAAAAAGGAAGAAAAGAAAGATAGTAATGTACATCTAAATTTTTATCTGCAGAACTGCATCAAGGATTTGGGCAAAGATCTCTGGTAGGAAATCAGGTTCCCCAACTTGCCGAGGTCCTAGAGGACCCCAGATCTGAGATGCCACCGGGGTCCTCTGCACCTGCTCCTAGCTCCTAGCAGTGTTGGTGGAGATATTAGTGAGAGTCCTTATTGTCAAGGGGACCAATGCCAGCCTCTTAGTGGTGGGTGGTCTTTTCCAATCCCACTTTATGTGACTCAGAGTGGTCTAGGTGTCTCTTAGCTCTTTTGACCCAATTTCCTCACTTGCCCTTAAGAACCCTTTGGTTTGGGAGTCAACCACACCTAATTTCCCAGATTCTGACCTCTGGATACTTGCCCCAGGTAGATGCCAAATGCCCTGAGGCACACGGTACTAAGCTTGTTGGAACCTGCTCGGGGGTTCCCGAGGAGGCAGGCATCCTCTCCACACGAAGTGGGATGCTGCCTGCTCCCTGTATTGCTGGGGACCTGGAGATCCTGTGTTTCCATTTCTTAACCTGGGAACCGGCAGTGGCGGATAAATCCGCACACGCTGGCTCTGCACATGCCTCTCGGTGGTCTGTCCTGTCCTCCACTTGAGTGGCAGAGTCGGGTGGGGTCCTTGGGCCACGTGTCCAGTCCGCTGCGCACAGTAAGCATTCAATGAAAACGACTTTTATGGTCACGGCTAGGGGCCGCGCTCTCCTTGAGCACTGTGGTCCTCAGCGCCTCCTCCCGCCCGAAGGCAGCAGGGCGGGGCGGGGCCGGCACGGCGCAGCCCAATCAGCGTTGCCTGTGGGCTTGGGGGAGTGGCCCAAGGAGCCCCAAGCTGCTACTAGGGGCAGCTCGCCTAGTGCGGGGACCCACTCGCAGCGCCCAGCATCCGCAGGGTCCCAGCGCCGCAAACTACTCGCCCAGCTCCGCCCAGGTTGAGACCAGAGTTCTGCTCAGGTGAGAGGGGACTCGGTCCCGCTGCTCTTTTGTTTGTATGAGAACAAGTCTCTCCGCGAGCCCAGGCTGTCTTCGAACTCTCAGCCATTCCCCTGCCTCAGCTGCGGTGTACCCTCTTTCTGTCTTTTGCGACGCTCTTTCCCTGACTAGGGCAGATGCGGTGCTTCAGGGCTGCGTGCCGCGGCACTCTGCCTGTTCGGGTGAAGGAACGGAAGCACAGTTACGAAGCCTTTTGGCAGGGACTGACTAACAGTTAGGAAACTGAAGAGCCGGGACCCCAGTCTGACTGAAGAGGCAGCTCCGCGCTCCACCGGAGGCGCGCGCTCTTTTGCCCTCTCAGTGCTGTTTGCCATCATTTGGGGAGGGGTAGTGTGTTGTCAGTGGGCGTCGATAGCTGGAACGCTGATGGCTTGGTTGCGTTAGAGGGGTGTTTCACCCTGTGTGAATAGGGTCCAGGTGATCACAGGGGCAAGTTCCTTTTGTCCCAAGTTACAGAGCCACGCCCCTTTCCAGTTTCGTTGGCAACAGGCTTGCAGTGAGGAGGTCTCCTCCCGGTTTCAGTTAAAAGTACTGAGGGTCAGAGTGGTAAAGTGAGCTGTACCAGTGGGGACGGGACCGGAACCCACTTCTGACTGCTTCCAAAGCTTCACATAGTTGTGTCCAGGTATAGCGCAGTCTGGCCTCCAAATCAAGTTAATCCTCCTGTCTCCGTTTCGCCAACGTGTTGGAATTACAGTTATTCTAGAGAATATTTTAGGGAACATTTTTTTTTTCTAAAGTGGGCACCTTGAATAACTCCTCCTGTCAGGAGTCTTGGCCCCAGGAACTAGGAGGTTGGCTGCCCCATATGAGGAAAGCCAAGGCCAGCTCCTTATGGGGTGTGTGCAGACTCGGCGCCTGGCGCCAGATGCCTGCTTCTGCAGTCCAGTTTGAACTGGCCATCTTTCCAGGGAAAGGTGAGTTGCTAGGGTGACTAAGACTGCGAGAGAGGCTGTCTGGATGCCTGGGTCTCCTGGAGCCAAGAGTGGGTTCTGGGTGTTCACTGTTGGTCCTGGACTGTTTGATCTGGTCAAGTAGAGTGAGCCCCCTTTTCCAGATGATCCCACACTCCACACATAAGGTCTGGAGTCCGACAACCATAGAGAACAAGGCCGGAACGTACCCTCTGCCCTACACAGACCGAGGGGTGTGCCAGAGTCTTGTGTAGCATGTATCTGACATCCTGCTTCCGCCACCATCTCCACCACCTCCCACCCAAGAAGGAATAGCAGGTATGGGTGGGGCTATATTGCCTGTGCTGGGGTCTGTGCCTGGGGATCTGGGTCAGTGCTAGCTCAGAGTCCTGCTTCCCGGCTGGAGGTGCAGTGTGGCTTGTGGTATTATCCCTCCCCCTCTTGGTAGACCTGGGTCTAGATGTGAACACTCATGACTTATAGGTCCTGCCTTTTTTTTTTTTTAAATTGTTTTTATTGAGCAATATATTTTTCTCTACCCCCCCTTCCCCTCCCCTCCCCTTCTACCCTCTCCCATAATCCCCATGCTCCCAATTTATTCAGGAGATCTTATCTTAGGTCCTGCCTTTTTAAAGACAGCTCTCTGTCCTTTGTTGCCTCTGCTTCTCAACCTGACCTTCACAGGGGACTTTATTTAAAAGGGTCCAGGAAAAACAGCCAGACAAGAGAGGAGAAACACAGAGGGAGGTGCTGATTCTTAGAGGGACCAGCAATGACAGTTACCATAAGGCTGGCACCTGGCACTTCTCTGGAACATCTTGTGACCCACTATGTCCAGGGTTTCCTCGAACAATATATCTCAGCATGCCCTGCGAGTGGGCACGCCCCATTCCCTGCTGCTTAAAGTGCACGCATGTGCAGAACACAAAACAGCTGAGCCTAGGGAGTGCTTCGCCTCTAGCTGGGCTCCCCCAACTCGCAGGTTCAGAGGAAGTTGTTTTGCCAGGTACAAACACGCTTCTCTCACTCTGCCATAAGGGTGCTTTTAGCATCTCCAAGCACTTGGCCCCAGGTGGGGGTGGGTGGGAGTAGGGACCGACAGGGCTCTTCCCCAGGGTGTGGCCAGCACACTGAAAGCCTTGCCTGGTGACCTGGGTCAGCGATGCTCCCAGATCCTGGCTGCTCTGCTGCAGAAGGGTGGGGTCGGTCTGCAGGCGCAGGGGGGGGGGGACCTAGGTGGACAGAGGAGAGCGTGGGGACCTTCGGAGCTCCCACATGGCACCCGTCTTGCGTGGATGACACAGGAAATGTCTATGGGCACGACCCTGGTGCTGACCATGGCCTTGTGGGAGCTGGCGCGAGGCTCTTCTCTGTCACCAGTGTAATTTGTGCATAGGGGAGGTGCCTCTGTGTCTGCTACTCTGGGAACTGGAAGCTTAATTTTTTTTAAACTCACTGCATTTGATGAGTCCCAGATGTGCAGAGCCCGTGTCAGTCAAGAGGGCTGATGGCTCGGTGGTTTTTCAGGAAGGGAGACTGCAGTGCAGCCTGGCGCCATCGTTTCACTGAATGGAGAGTTAGCTTACCCAGCAATGTCCCCAACAGAGCACCCTGCCCCAGAGCAGGCAAGGACCGTCACATGACTAGGAACAGAGTCCAGGCTTTTCTGAACCAGCCTTGTTCTGTTTTCTTGAAAGAGTATAAAATACACATACACATAAAATCTGCCATTTTTATTTTTTTAATTTAAAAATCGTATTTATTTATTGAGTGTGTGTGTGCATGTATGTAGGTATGTACATGCTAGGGGGCATGTGCAGAAGTCAAAGGACAACTTGTGGGACTCCATCTTTCCTTTTATCCTTGTAGATCCAAGCACGTGATTGAATTTAGGTTTTCAGACTTGGCACAAACACCTTTCCCCGTGGAGTCATCTCACTGCCCCAGAATGGACCACTTTTTTTTGTTTGTTTGTTTTTTGAGACAGGACTTCTCTGTGTAGCTTTGAAGCCTATCCTGCAACTCGCTCTGAAGACCAGGCTGGCCTCAAACTCACAGAGATCGCCTGCCTCTGCCTCCCAAGTGCTGGGATTAAAGGCGTGCACCACCACCAGCCGGTTCAGAATGTCCCATTTAAAAAAATACTTATTTAGCTATTTTTATGCGTATGTATTTGTCTGCATGTGGGTTTGTGCCCACAATAGTATTGCCCAAGGAGGGTAGAGCAGCATCAGATCCGCAGAACTGGAGTTACAGATGGTTGTGATCCTGCGATGAAGGTGCTGGGAACCGAACTCGGGTCCTCTGCAAGAGCAGCAAGTGCTCTTTCTTAACTGCCGAACCATCTCTCCAGCCCTCCAAAAACGCTACCACCTTAAAGTGCACAGCTGAGGGCATTTAGCGCATTGGTAGTGTTGTGTGGCCAGTGCAACAATCTGATTCCAGAACATTCTCAACATCCTGTGTCCACGAGCAGTTGTGCCTCAGGCTTCTCCTCCAGCACTTATCGCTGCTTGGTGTCTTTGGACCTTCTCTCATTCTGGACATTTCTCACAGGTAGAATCCTGCAGCCACCTAGTGTTTGTGCCTGGGCATTGTCAAGATCCATCCATTTGGTAGCATATATGTGAATATATTTACTGCATTTTTTTTTTGGAGACAATGATTTACAATGCAGCCTTGGACGACCTGAAATGTGCTCTATAGACCAGGCTGGCCTTGAACTCAGAGATCACCTGTCTCTGCCTCCCAAGTGCTGAGATTAAAACCATGCACCAACATACCTGGCTTTACTGCTATTTTTTTCAGTGTGCAAAGTGATGGTTTCTCTATAGCATTTTCTTTCTTTTTGGTTTTGAGATGGGTCTCACTGTGTAGGCCTGGCTGGCCTAGAATTCACAATGTAGCCCAGGCTGGTCAACCCTCTTATTGATTATAGGTGTGCCATCACCATGACTCATTTTTGTGCTGGGGTTGGAAAAAGGCATGCAAGACCAGTGTTCTGCTAATGAGCTACATCCCAGCCCCTCACTGAGGGATTCTAGGCAGGCACCTGCTGTACCTCTGGGTTGTATATCCCATCCTCTGTCGAGCATATATTTCTTCTCATACTTCTGCAAATACCCTGCTTAGTATTCTGGGAACACTATGCACATAGTTCTGTAGATGTGTATGCTGAGGAGACAGCAGGTCACGTGCCCATTGGATGTCTAATGGTGAGAAAGCTGACTCCTTCATCCTCTGTGAGGAAGCACCATCAGTTTGGCTCTCTCACCCAGATGGCAGTGAGCTCTTCCGTGGTGGGTACAGGCAGACACTGTGGCCTGGAGTTCTGTGGCAGGGCTGACGTCTTGGCCTGAGTCACAGCAACCCACTGAGAGTCCTGTCTGAGACATTGCCCTGGGGGAGCCCTGCTCTGTTCCTCACCCCCAGATTGCAACTGTGGTATTTTCGGGCAGACACCCCCCTTTCCAGGCCATGGGGACATGATGATCCAGCCAGAAGGAAGGTTGCTTGGCTTCTAGTGCTGCGTCAGCTTAGGAAAACCCACAAAATTGGGAGCGGGGGAGGCCTAATGAGGGATTTTGCAACTTTTGGACCATCATAAAAAAAAAAAAACCTTACAAACTCTGAAAGCCCGCATTTTCAATCCAATTTCTGGAATGTGTCATGTTTGGATGCTGAATGGCAACATTCCAGAAGAAAAGGCAGCCACAGTTCCATTTTGCTTGTAGGCCAGAGGTCCCAGAGCTAACCCTGTCCCAAAAGTCTTTCAGGCGGGACGAATCGCACTTGCTCTCGAGGAGTGGGGCTGGCATTAAGCCTGTGTCTTCTGACCCTTCGTGGAGTGGGCCCGGGACACCAGGCCAAAGAGATCATGTTTCAGCTGCAGGGAAAGGGAGTGGGCTGAGAGGAGCTGCTGACCATGCTAGGCTGAGCTCTGTATAGGTCCACAGACCTGGGATGGGGATGGCCAGGGTGAAGGATCAGCTCAAACGAGGGTAACTCAGGGTCTACCTTGCCATCATGGGTTGAAGCACTAAGCAG